CCATCAAACTGGTGTCCAGGTTTCAAGAAAAGAAGTGTCACAAAAAAAAAAACCAACAAAAAACCCCAAACAACAACAATATTTGTTTTCTTTTTAAAGAGCAAGAAACAAGAAAACATCAAGTTTATTATTTTTGTGTTGTTTCCTCAAATAACTATTGCTTCAAATTTGTGTTGTTTTCTCACATAACTATTGCTTCATATTGACAGCAGTGCAATTTTTGTCACTGCTGAGGCTGAGCATTGGCTCTGGAGAGCTGGGGAGCCACATTACTCTTCCCAGCACCTACCAAGGCAGGTGTCCCGAGCTCCAGCCACCCCTGAGATCATGTCCTTCCCCCTTGTGGCCGCCTATCTTGGTCAGGGTGGAAAAGAAAGAGGTTTCTCTGTTGAAAAGGGAGCCTGTGGATGTTTTAACGGTCTCAGAGAAAGAGGAAGCAAAGACCAAGAGAAGATATGATAAAGATAAGGATTGATTTAAAGGAGTGCAGCTGGGGCAAGAGTACCCTACTAGAAACCTTCCAGGTTATAATCCAGGAGGTGCATATTTGTGCCTCGCTTCTGGTTTGAACTAAAATGGACAGCTTGACCCAAGTGTTATGTAACATCTCATTATTTTGGCTAAGATGTCCAAAATAGTGGTTTTGTTTTCTGAAAGTTGAATGCTTGTATTGTTTTTTCCACAATTAAAACCATGCTGGGATGGCTAGTTTTTGTCAGCTTTGAAATTTTGGCTTCCATAGTGGTTTGGTTTTGAAGTTTTACAAGGACCTGAAGTATTTACAAGCACCTTCAGTGCCTAAAGTCTTGCCTTACTTACAATACCTCAGCACCTATTGCTGCTGGAGCCCCCAAACACACACTAATTTGGATGTGATAGTAGGGCTTGATTACTGGTGTATAAACCACAGCAACTGACTGTGAAAGAGTACAGCTGTTCTGTGCTTTTTAATAAAAACCTAGGATGTTTAGGGAATTTCAAGCCTTTGGTTTGGAGCTGATACACTGCAAGCTGTTTGGCTTCCACTGCCTTGCTCGTGGCAGCACATCCTCCTTAGAACAGGCGGTAAGGAGCAGTATCAATAGGAAGAGCCTGCAATATAGAGAGATGATTGCTGCTGGCTGGAAAAAAGCACAGGGTATAGCCAAAGAAAAGCTGGCTGTAGTCTGCTTTTAGTGCTTTTTTTTCCTGAAGTAAGACTTAGTTTGCTCTGTGTAAGTGACGTCAGCCCTGCAGTTCCACCCCATTTCATGGGGCAAGGAAAGGGTAACACACAGCACTCTTAGGAAAAAGAGCTGACGCAGGGGTTTGATGCAGATTTCTACCTACCTGTGTGTGAACCAGTTACACAAGAACTACAAAGTGTTCTTGTCCTCTTTTTATTTTTTTCCAGTAAGTGGTAGTTGCAGACACTGTGATTTGAGTTAGGGCGAGGTTCCTTTCTGCTTGTATTTAGAATAATACTCACATTTACAAAACACAGTGTAGGGTTGAACCTTCACATTGTGCCTTTTGGCAGCTATTTTTTTTCAATAAAATGAACCCATATTTCAGTGTAGATTCTATCTTCATTGCAATCTGTACAGGATTTTCTCATGTGCTTCTATCTGGATTATAGGTAGGTAGTTAGGTAGGTCTTAGAGAAACATATGAAGTTTGAGATTGCTGCAGGTATAAAAAGATATTTACATACCTTGACTATTCAGGAACTTTTTCTTTTCTTTTTTTTTTTTTTTTTTGCAATAAACCTTTCTATTTGCTCTGAAGTAGCAATTCAGTCGTGATTTAGTAATGGATTATGGGAGATCTAAAATGTATGCACATTTCCTTGTGTAAGAAACAACTTGATTTTCATTTTCACTTTAATTTGCATTTCATTTCCAGAATTTCTGACTCCAGTCAGCAAACTGGCATAGTGCATGAGGAGAAATTATCTCTTGAAAATGCTCGTTTATTAGAATTTTATCTACTCAGAAATTCACATTTTTATCTTTTCTTCTCTTTATTTCTATTACTTTGTCTTTTTGCCCTGACTTCAGCATGTTTACTTACAATGGCTATGAATAATTACAGCTGGTGATTTTATAGATGTCATTTTATGTCTATAGGCACATTTCTAGATATAATGCATTGTATTAAAACTTATGTTTTAAAAGCAATATATTTGAATGATGGTGTTCAGATGAAATTCCAGATGTTTAAATACTCTGCTTCTACAAAATAAGCAGCATTAATTAGAAATTACTCTTGCATTACTTCTTCATTCCATTGCTTGGGGTTTGCCAGCTCACTTGATTTTCTCGTTTGAGTTATGTGAATTAGGAAGACTTATTAGACATAGACAAGCCTACTACTCCCTGTCATGCTCTCCCTGATCTCCATGACTATAATTTATTTATTCTAGTTTTTTGTCAGAATAGTGAGAAAACATAAGGAAAATAAGTTTACACAATGAGAAAATTGTAATTTATTGCTACATAGTTGCAGAGGCCTTCTGATGTTTAAACAGAAATATAATACATGATTTCTCTAACAAATGCATTTTCTTACTCCTCTAAAATTTGCAAGTATTCACAAACAATGTGTCAGTGAAGGGGATGCTAAGTAAGACACTGTGGAACTGAACACCCTTTAAAGTAATCAATCAAATAGAATTCCTGAATAATATCACAAGTAGTTCCTCCACAGAAAAGGCATGTAACCAAGTTAATAGGAATGTGTAATGTTTTACACACTCAGTTTTCATGGGTCGATTATAAACTAAAAATTGCATGTAAGATATCCAGTATGGAAAACCAAATCATGTGTATAAAAAGTTAACACATTCAAAATTATACACAAGTTATACACAACTATACATTGTTGTCCTTGAATAGAGCTTGTTCCACATGTCAAATTCAGGTTCCTCCTCTCTGACTATTAATCAAAGAAAAGGAAAGACTTTATCAAAGTAGTAGGGGATGAAATTTAAGTAATATCAAAAAAAGCTCTTTTTTTGCTGGCAGACAGGCTTTGTCTCAAAATTATAAGTGTTTAATGAATAGCGAATTGTTGGATTTTTTTAAATTGTATCATTTTTACAGAAAAAAAGAGATATACATGGATCTACAATAATGAGCATGAAAAACAATCTTTAAAATTACGTCGGCAGCAAATAAATTCAACTAAATGCATGTTTGGAAGGCATATTTTATTATGCTGATAGCCTTCCAAGAACCAGCTAAAACCAGGCCCACTAGCTTCAAACAAACACTTTTCAGTTTCTGACTCCAAATAGCTTAAATAGCCTCCTGATTAGCAAGGTGCTCAGGCATGTAAGTAGTCTCAGTGAGTATCCCCAGCAAAGCTAAATATATTTGCCAAATCACTTAACTAAGGGTGTCTCCTGAATTTTTTGAATTGTTGCATTGTTTACCCTGCTCTAGTTTCTACCAAGTGACTCAACGACAGTTTAGCAGCCGGAGTAGGACAGCTCTCTATCATACCAAGCCCTGTACTTGGCCGGTTTCATTGTTCCCTTTAACTCCACTCTCTAGGTGGAGGGTGAGGATGCGACTTGTAGGTTGGGTTGGGGTGGTGGGGTTTTTTTGTTTGTTTGTTTGGGGTTTTTTCGTTTTTTTCTTTCTCCCCCACAGTCCACCCACTCCCTATCTGGTATTTAGCTTGCAATGTTTGGCCAGGGAAAATCTTTTTGCAATAAACTTGTACAGTCCTTAGCAAAATGGGATTGTGTTCAAGAGGTAATCACTGCTACAGCAGAAGTGCAGTGCCCTGTGTTTAAACCTAGAGTTGTGTGACCTGTTGAGAAAAATACATAGCTGTGAACAGAATACCTAAGCAAATGTGACCATCTCAGTTTTATAAACATAAGTAGTATCCTTCTCCATCCTGGAAGATTTGGATTTTTTTCCTACATATCGGACTGTTTGTCTTAAGAATGTAATGAGGTGTTACTGAGCCTTTTCTGTAGTTTCCTGATGGTTCTCCGATATTCTCAATCCTGATTTATAGAAATACAGACAGCACAGAAAATAAAGCTTGTGCCATTGTGTTTGAAAAATTCAGGCAGATCTGCTCACAAGCACCAGCAGTGTTATTTGTTTATTATGCTTTGATTTAGAATCTCGATTTTGCCAATATCTACCAATATTTGTGCACTAAATAGCTGTGTTAGATTTCTTTCTTCAATTTTTGTCTAAATAATGTCTAGGAAAGGTCTTCATCTGAAGTGGCGTATGTCTTTAATCAATGCAATGCATGTAATAATGTACTAAACTGCATTTTAAAATTTGGAGAATCCTAAAGTTAGGATGGTAGATCTGATCTCTGAATAACAGTGGGCAATGCCGTATTGTTGTAGGGGTAGGGGAGAAATAAAACAATTCTTGGGATGTGGAAAGTGATGTACAGCTTGCTTGGCAAATTATAGCAATGGCACAGTAATACTTCCAGCATCAGTAAGGCCTCAAATTAAGCAGTATGCTCAGTGTCTAAAATGAATTCCTTTCTCTGTACCAACAGCAGAAAGCCCACTGAGTGAGCAGGGACCGGCAAAACATGCTCTGGAAGGAGAGCAGGAAGGAATAGGATTTGCTCAGGACAGCAACAGACTGAGGAGAAACACTGCTGCAACTCTGCTTAAGGGCGGGACCAGCAAAGAGAAAGGGGAAAAGAAAAAATCTCCATATTTGTGGTAGATTTGAGGAGAAGATAAAGAGCTAAACTGCAGCAAAAGAAACCCTGTTTAAGCACTAGAAAAACTTATGGGGAGAAGTTTAAAGCAATACAGTTGCCTGGGAGGCTGAGATGTCTTCATTACAGGTCATTAAGAACAGGTTAGACCGATCCATTAGGAATGAGACAGGTGTTGATCATCCTGTCTTAAAGGAGGGGGTGGACACAGATGGCCTCCTGACCTCTTTCAGCCTCATGATCTTGTTGTTACATTTTTTTTCTGGATTCAGGTTATATATTTAACCAACCCAGCTGTATTTAAACTAAGAGGGAAGGTGATAGTTTTCCATAAATTTCCATGATTTCCTCTTAATACTTTGTTCTCTCTGATGAACACCTTTGTCTCAGCTTGCTCTGTCCTTCATAGGACTTTTTTTTTTTTTCCATTTGCTAAACATATGGCTGAGACTTAGTAGAGGAGAGCACAAAGGACAATTTGTTCTAGAAGCCTGCATCTCAGCAAGCACAGTATTTATAAGAATCTCATCAAATATACTTGAGTTGTCTAACGCAGGATCTTTCCTAGGTGTAAGCACCAAAACGAGTAGGGGAAAGCTTAGGATGTAACCTGCCTTCAGAGAGGGACAGAGCAGAAAGGACTGCGAGAGTGGGGGAGGAGGAATAGCTTTACATCGCTTCTCTTCGAAACCTTGCAGCTACAGTGGCTCTTGCAAAACACTTGTTGATTTAAAGAGCGCAAGCAGAGCTACTGACAGAGCCCATTACCTTCGCTGTCAGGTTGGACTCACCAGACAATGGTAAGGCTGAGTTGGTTAAGTTGTGTGTAAGTACACACATGATTACAAATTGTGCTTTTCCAAACCATTCAGTACATTTGCATCATCTTTCAAGCACCTAGTCAAGCATGTTTTGTCTTACTGCAAATAGGAGCCTCCAGTTAGTGCATCCATTTCACTTTTATTCCCTTTCCTCTTTAATTGTTTAAATGAAACAGCTTTACTGTCTAATATTTTTAAACACTGCTATAATTATTACAAATGTATTTGAAGACTTAAAAGTGGAGTGGCTGCAGTGTGACAGCACAAGAAAAAATATCAAAATGAACACAATTGTAGCATCTCTCTTCTTCAGCCCTGGCTTTTGCTAACTTCACTATTTCCTGATGAGCCAATGGATAACAGGCCTGTGCAGTAAAACCAAAACCTCTGTCTAGAAAAAATAGAGGTGAGAATGTATTACAGTATAATTACAACTTCAGAAATGTGAGCCATCTTTTACTGATATAGAGCTGTCTCCTTGAGTGTGCACGGAGGCTGGAGCACAGACTCATTTCGGTAAGGTGACAATTTTGATGACCAGTGATTATTTAAAGTTCAGCGCTGCTACCTTTTCCTCCCGGTGTATGAAAGGAGAAAGAAACCACGGAATTTTGTATTGTGAACAATGTGTCACCTCTGCCTACGTACCGAGGTTCATGTACAACAATATCTACTCCACAGGTAGGGAAGGCAGTTCCAGGAGACCACCGGAGTCTGCAAATCTGAGGAGCTGCACAGGGAAGTAGGACAGATGTCCAAAACTGATGAGGGAAATCTTCAACAGATCTGGTCGTTTTGCACTCTCGGGCTCAGCCTTCAAGAATGACTGCTCCCCATTCCTGATGCCTCTGGTGAGTCAGATGAAACTGATGTCAAGGCGTTTTCAGAGGCCATGTCATTAGGGTGAAACGGAGGTAATCTCAGGGGATGGAAAACCTCTGCCCTATCACATAGTCCAGAAAGCTCAGGGACTATATTTTTTTCTAATTTTGTTAGATTAAAATAATTCCATGCAAAAATTTTGTTATTCTAGGGTTTAGGGTTGGAAGTCAAACAAAAGAACATGAGTTTGGGAAGCTCTAATGAAAATATAATTGTTTTGATAATAAAAATAAAATTTAAAATATCCTAATGATTAATAAAATAGAGCAAGAAGCTGATTGTCTGAATTTACAGAAGTATAACTTGAAACTCAACTCTCTCTTGAAGTGAAGCCAGGCTCTTTAAATTTACTTCATGCTTTCTGGACTTTATTTACTTCAGTTAAAAGTTTCTAAGATCAAGCTTCTGTGCTATCTGTAAATCAAAAAGCTATCTGTGGCCTCCAGTTTGGAAAGTCATTTAACTGGTTCTGTGACTAAATCACTGTCATCCTTCCCCCTTAATTTCATTTCTTTCACAATGGTATTAGGTAGGAACTGCAAAAGAGGGAGGTAGATTTTAAGTCTGCTGCATGAAATGTGTTGCTTGTACAGACATGCTTAGTTTTTGACAGTTAAAAACATGCTTCACTACCATTCTGATTTTTTTTTTCTATCTTCTGGATTCTAATTACATGATCTGGTAAATTTACATGTGTACATAACTCTAGATTTACATAGTAAGTGGACAGTGGTGAGCAGAGGTTGATTGGACTCGAGGTGCAATCATCTTAACAGTAAGTTTAGAAAGTACTTTTAACATAGAAGATGTAGAGTCACTGAGGGTTGCACACTCATGATTGAGGAGGAACGTTTTCTAATATATATGGTCAACAATGAGAAGTAATTGTTAATTTTCAGAGTACATCCCAAAGAGAGCAGCACAAAGGGAGCTTGTAAATGTGTACATCTGCACTTGGTGATGGTGGGATGGCCTTTAATTATGTCCTTCCTCAGCATTGCTCTTCAATATGGAAATCTTGTGAAGGTACAAAAATTTGTGTATTCAAGTGCAGAATATCAAGGGAAGAAGACAGTGTTGCACAATTCTAAACAAAAGGTAAATTAACATATTCAACAATGTAATTACAAGGGGAAGAAACACTGCTCTTTAACTGGCAAAATTATAATGAAACACTTCTACCTTTATTTCTTATAAGTAGCTTAGTTCTGCCCCTCAATGTGTCTGCTTGGGGGCTGTTTACCATTTTGGTTAAAGGCAGAGTACAGGGGTGAGCTGGGCTTTTTTAATCCTCAGTAGGAGGGATGGCAATGTCTTCTTTAATAGACTGCATGAATACACAGAATATGTCACAGCATAACTATTGCTGAACACATGCTGCAGGATGAGAATATGGGAGAGACCAAGAATAAAGAGTAGCAAAAACAAAGATAAAAGAGAAAATCAGGGCAAAAGGGGAAAAAAAGGTAGTTAAAGAAAAGAACAACTGAAGAAGTTGGAGAGCACTGCAAAATAAAGCAGAATAGCATAAACAATTTTTTTCCTACAAAAATATCACAGAGGCACAGAATTCCTGAGGCTCCGAAGGACCTCTGGAGATCACCAGGCATTGGGATTGGAATCACCAGGGTTGGAATTTGGTGTCACCTGCTCAGAATTTTCCTCACAGTGATCAAGAAGAGTTTTAGAGGCAGGTTTTGCTTGTCTGATCCAGCACTTCATGTGGTCACAATTATACATGGCTGAAGGAAAGTAAAGAAACAACAGGTCTAGGTAAATGGAGGTGAATCCAGCAAAGTAAAAGGCAAGGGTTTTGGTATGACATTACAGTATGAGACAAATAAATACACTTCTGGTAAAATTACATCAGTTGTGCTTTAGTTCCACAGGTGTATTTCCTTCAGCTGAACATTATTTTTTCTTAGCATGAATTGTTTACTAAAGTAGCATGAGCAAAATGAGTCTTTTATTCCAGTATAAAAATATTTGAACAAATATTGATTAAAATTCTTATTCTCAGCATATACATTTATAAATTTCTTCAAAACATTTTATTTGGTAAAATTTATCCTGATTGATTTTTTTGTATTAAAATGTATTAGGCTTTTCAAGATGATTTTATTTAAAAAAAAATATGGTGAAGCAGATTATTGAATTAATCAGGTGTAAACATACAACAGGATGTTAAAGTAATTACTTTTTTAGTTAGGAGCTTGTTATTTGAAATGCAAAAATATATATATATTTATTTCTAAAGTTTTTCTAGGGAAAAAAAATTCTAACCTCATATGCACTATATGCATAGGATATGCTCTTCACTGCAAGCTCTTAATGAGGTTGTTGTAGCACTGTATCAAATCATGATAAACCAAACTGTCCTTGAAGAACCTGAGCCAGACCCCAGATGCTTTAAAGGAAGCCATGTAAGTCAAAGTGTTATTTTGAAAAGGCAGATTGTGGTAAAGGGCCAGTGGAAGCAGGAAAATCAGCAATATTTTGGAGATGTGAATGGAGGTCAGAGGGTCACTGTAGTTGTAGGAACTATAGGGGGTGTGTGTGTCATGCCAGGGGGTGGTGTGGTGGTGTAGTGAGTAAAGGTAGGGGTGACTGGGGAAGGTGGAAAAAGGCAAATGTCAAGTCCATCTTCTAGGAGGGAGATCCAAGGAACTACAGGCCAGCCAGCCCAAGGTCAGACTGTGAGGATTAAGTAGCAAATCCTCCTGGACACCTTCTCCAGGTGTGTGAAAGGCAATAAGGTGCCTGGGGGCAGGCAGCAAGTTAGTGTATCCATTTGTCTCTTTGCAAGGGTTTACAAAAGGCAAATTCTGCCTGACCAATGTGACTGGTTTGTATAATGAGGTAAGTGAATCTGTGGATAAGTGGAGAGCAGCTGATGTCATTTACCTTGACTATAACAAAGCTTTAGACACAAACGACCACAGATCTCCTCTAACCACATTGGAGAGTTATTACCAAGGCTGAGTAGAAGACAAGGTGGAACACTGGCTGCACCACTGGTCTCAAGGGCTGCCATCAGCAGGAGCAGGTCCTGCTGGTGGCCAATGTACTTCAGGGGTGGGTACTGTGAAACATGGTCAGTGACTTCAGGGATGAGATGAAGAGCAGATCACAGCAAAGTGGGAGATAGTGGCCAGTGCTCAGACCTTAGCAGACTGCAAAAATGGGCTGGCAGGAACCTCACAAAGTCCAATGACCAGTGAAGCAGCATCCTGCATCTGGTACAGAACAGCCATTTGGAGGCTAAAACAATAGGAAAGGATTTTCAAAAAGAAATTTGGAAGTCCTGGTGAGCAACAAGTAAGTCAGCTGTGACCTTGCAACAAAGAAGGTCAAGAACATCCTGGGCTACCATAGGAAAAGAATGGCCAGCAGGTTGAGAAAAGTGGCGATTCCCATCCATGGAGTGAGAGCACATCTGGAAAATTGGGTGCAGTTTTGAGCTACCCAGTGTCGGAAAGATGAAGACATAAAAAAGAAATTCCAGAAGACAGCCACCATGATGGTGAGGGTGCTGCAGCACACGATGTACAAGAAGAGACTGAGAAGGTCAGGCCATTCATCTGAAGAAGAAAAGGCTGGTGTAAATTTTAATGTTCTCCTCAACTTCTTAATGGGCAGATGCAGAGAAGATGGAGCCTTCTAGGAAGTCCACAGTAGCCTTTTCATTGTGAGAAGCAACAGGCATAAGCTGGAACAGACTAATTAGACATCATGGAAAAAAACCCAAAACAACTCACAAACGTGTTCAAACTGTGGAATGGGTAGTACAAAGAGGCTGTAGAGACAGTAAAAATCATCTGGTAATGACCCTGGAAAATCTAGGGTCATAACTTCAAAATTGGCCCTACTTTGAGATGAGGTTGCAACCAGAAGACTTTAACAGGTCCCCTGAATCCTGAAGAAGGTGAAGATAGTGGAGTATTTTCACACAGTTTCAATTTTTTTTTTTTTTGTGGGTTTGAGTTAGGTATACACTGTGTCAACAAAAATCTTATTGGTTTCATAAAGATCATATTTAAATCCTCTTGGGAAGGTTAATGAATAAATGGGGATTCAATTCCCCATAAAGGTGGGCAAAGTGATTTTACAGAGTAAATGCAGCTGCTCATGAAAAAGGCTTTGTGCACCAACAGCTGCGTTATATGCAGCCCTGATGTCAGCAGGTGCAAATAAACCATTCTTCCTTATGCATATAAGCTGCAGGTAGAGCTTTATGAGACAGCAGCCGTACCTGAGTGGCCTACCAAGTTCATAAACTACCAACAATTTGTTCATAACCTTTCACCTTATGGAAAAATAACTTTACTTATTTGAAAACCAGTTAGAAACACACCTGCAAGTGCTAGTTTTACTCTGTGTACCAATTTTTAAAGAAATATGGCATGTAGAAAAGGCAAGAAAAATAACATTGACAATATATGACTGTACTGACCGGGAAAACGTGGTTGCATTCAGATTTTGATTTTTTTCCTGTTAATTCATGGGGGGAAAAAAAGTTATATGAAAGGAAATTCAACCAAATTCCTCTGAAAACTCAAAATAATTAAAAACTTCTCTCAATCCTAATTTTCATACTAGGAAAGGTTTGCAAATCACAGTGAATAATCAAATGAATGCATAAAGTGATGTTGTGGACAAAATAGCAAGCAGAAGAATGAAGGGGAGGAAAGTGAAGAAGAATGAGAATGACAGGAAACTTGTATTACTCTTGTTTAGAATGGATGAAGTTTTTGCTGAAAAACTAAGCCCAGCTCTAGTCAGCACAATGCAGCACGGGTGACTACTGGAGAAGTTTCAGAGAAAAGCTGTAATGCTGAATAAAGTCTGTACTGAAGTGTGTTTATGAAATCTATTTCCCATCTGGAAGATGGTCCCTTCCCTTTAAAGAATAGCAGTTAGGAATAACATAATTACTGGTCTTTGCATACAATGACACTTGTAACCAGGGCTTTGGGTTTTGGCCTTGGATGACAAAATGTATTTGCTTATGAGTTAGAAGCTTGTAACAAATTTCAGTGGATCTGAGCATATGTGTGTAGTTAAATCTCCTCTCCCACACAGTTTGACTAGGAAACTCAGCCACATAGGAGGCAGGGCTTTTTGTTAATGTTGAGGCTAAAATCTCCATGTTGTCTGAGCTTTTATGCTCCTACCATAGCAAGTTAAAGATCTTCCTTGCTTTTCCTGGTGGCTTTAGGTATTAGTTTAATAAAGATTTTTGGTTATGTTTAAGGAAGTTAGATGTCAGAAAAAAAAAAATAAATCAAGCTTTCCTAAATAAGAAATACTGGAACTGAAATTATCTGTGCAATTCTAAATTGGACTGTTTATGGTCAAAATTAAAGACATATTTTTTTCTTTCTTTTCTTCTGCCCCAGTGAACCACTGTTTCACTTTGCATCAGAGAATGAATCACAACTGTGAGGTAAATGAGATTATTGCCTATCTAACTGTTTGCCTATTTGCTACAGAGATTTGCAGAGATATGACAAATGAGGTCAGAGGAAAAGTTTTGTCTCTCCAGGACTCTTTAAACCCCCTCCTTTTTTCTTTTTTTGCTGGGTGGGTGTTTTTGTTTTTTTTTTTAATTTTTCTCCCCCTCAAATACAACTACTCTTACTTGCTATGTTATTTCAAGGTAATATTCTATTCTGTATGTTTTACAGACAGAATTAATCCTCAATCTCTTTTTTGCCTGGCTGTGTATGGGCAGGGTGGAAGAGCTTCCTGAAGACTAAGTAATTTCTCTGCCAAATACAACTGATGGGGAGAGATATTCAGAAACGTTGTCCTCTCCAGCTGCTGCAGTGTTGTCTTCTGAAGATGATGTCAAAAGTACTCCAGCGGAAACAGTGGCATTAAGGTGGATTGGATCTTTGGTTACCATCACATCAAAGCTCCAATTGAGCATGTAAGAACGAAATCCCTCCATCCTCATCTCTAATGGGACTAAATTCAAATAGATTTCTGATGGCCATCCCTCCCATTTCTGAGTTCTCTCAGTAGAAGAAGAAAATATTGCAAGTTTTCAGCTAGTTAATTGCAAAGGCTTCTTTCTTTAACATGGGGGAGGAGAGTGGGAAAGAGTTTTCCTTTAATTTGTTTGGAAAAACAATTGAACTATTTTTGCCCAATGCAAGAAAACAGCTTAAAAAATGAAGTCAGACAAGTATGGGAAATTTTATGCAGCACAGTAGGGCAAAATGTAACCATCTGAAAAACAAGGATTATGATTAAAAAAATATAGGACGAGCCTAATTGCAAGCAGAGTTAGCTATACCACCAGCAACAATATATAATCTGCAGATAGCTACAGAACAATTTGGGGCTGCACATCCAGGCTACAAAATGTCAAAAATAACGACTGTTGCAGTGTAAAGTACAACTCGCCATTATCGAAAAGTGTGAAAACGTAAAGCTTTTCTCGTAAGATAGGATTTCTGCATTACGGATTGCTTCTTGAACTAAAGGGCAATGTTTAACAATCGCCCTCCCGCCCTTAACAAATTTTAACTCATGTATTCACTCCTCCAATCTGGGGAAAGCCTGCATCTCAATCCCCTCGCTCCCATGAGCGAGATACAGCTGACACGATTTTCAGCATGCGTGTTTTTTTTTTTTTTTATTCGTAGGCAAAGAAAGGAAATAAGACTGTAAGACTGTATCCCCCCGCCTCGCTTCCCTGTTTTCGTGAATATGGGCCACTGGAAGCCGTAAGAGGGCTG